CGCTGGAAAACCAAGCATTCGAGCTTTGTTTTTCAACTGAACTGTCATTTTACATAATAAATAAATCTAACACAATGATGGTAATGATGTGAAAATTGGTTTTCTTACAGTACTCTGATTTTGTTATAAAATCTTGTCATTTGCTCCTAGTTTTTCAACCTTTTCTTTATTCTTTTGCACTGGAGAGCTGTATGTATGAACACAATGTTATCTCTGTATCCATCAATATTATTAATGCTCACCTCTCTTATCCTTAACATGGAGCTCTAATGGAACAAACTCTTCATTTAATAGATCAAACATTTTCTCAGCATCTGCTGCAATATTTATCTGAGTGAACATAAGAGCCTCCTAAGTTTCATGATATAAGGATAATGAGTTGTGTCAAAGCTTTAAGCATTTTCCCCCAACTTTAAGTGTGCAAAATGCTGTTTTATGTTACCTTATTCTATACCATTATGATTACCTGCTAATTATTTCTGTCATTTATTATGTGATGTTTCATCAAAATCATACTTACTTGATACTGTTCTAATTTTTTCTCTGATGACTTTTTTTGTTGGGCATGGCTATTTTTCTTGAATACCCAATCAATTGTGGTTGATTTCATCGTCTTTATTTTTTGGAAGAATATTTTCTCAGTGCTTGAGTTACTAGCTGTGCCTAGTGTAGGCACTTCTGGTTCGAATCATTGTGTTGCCCTCTCTGTAATGCTCTCTCAAGTTAGAAATCGGATTTGCTGTGTAAAATGATTCAGCTTCATGTGGGCACTCAATTTTTTGAATCAGTTTGCACATGCACCACAACAGTCTCTAAAATCCTTGCCCTACAAGTTTATCTAGAGTTTGTTTTATTTATTTTATTTAACTTTTGTGTAATTCTCATGATTCCGTTCTAGCCTGAAGCCGTGGGTGCAAGTTGTTTATGTATGACAGGTAAAACAGATCCCAAAAAAGGTTGTGTTAGCTCAGTAGCTTTGTATGACCTCAAGGCCACCCTGTGTCCTAATAATGCAATAATGCACATATTGCCTTAAAATCTTATAAGCTGAGTTATCTCATAAGCAACCTACTGCCATCTGATATTGATGTCGATTGTTTTGATAGTACAGTAAGTGCAAAAAAAAAAAAAAATTGCCAAATTAGTGAGATGTGTAGGTGTTAAATTGTTGCTATTCTGTATTGAGTCTAAGTATTACAATCATCTTTGCATTTACAATATTGATTCATTTGGTTTGTTTCTCAGTTTTGTGAGGGAGCCTGCTTTTCACTTAAATTTTCAAGTGGAACAAGTTATTACCAAGTCAGGGGTATATACTATGACCATATAATCTATGAGTAAGGTGTTATTTGATTTTGAAGATGTGCTGTTGCAAGTATTTTGAGCTTTTTATTGCCTTGTAATGTAAAGTAACATACTGCCATTTAAACGTGAAAGGAAGAACACCCCGGTGTTTTTGAGCATAAATGGTATGTATGCAAGTGTGTGTTTATCTGTATACATTTGCAAAAATACTTGAAGGCAGGACTCAATATATTTCAAAGTAGCTGTGTCCAATCATATAGTGCTAGAACAATCGTACCATGATACTCAAATGTGTCAAATCAAACCACTTTTCTCCATCTTTCAGCCATGTTGGTCTTACCTCTTATTTTGAATTGTTCTCGTTTGTGACGTGAGCCAGGTCATTTTCAGAGGAGTATTTACAGTCCTGTGCTCTTGTTTAGGAAAGTCTTATGCTCTACTTCATTTACTTACAGAAGTTTGAGATTTTGTTGTTTAACATAGTGGAGTTGGTACCAACACAGTTGTCACTTTGTTTAACATTTAATTTTCCTTATCTTTAAAAAATGTTGACTCAGCTCTACTTAGAGCCAGAAAGGGCATTCTCATACAAACCCATTTCTGGAGAGTAATTTTTTCCTTGTTATATTTGTGAAAAGTTAGTAAATTGTGTATAACTCCTCTGAGCTCAAATATCAGATACCTTGAAATTAAAGAAAAATTGATTCTAGTTAAAAAGGGTGATTGATGTGCAATGGGTTGTAGATTTTGATGAGAGTATTATCACAGTTTAGTGAATGAGACTCACTCAGTTGAATATTTTTGAGGATACTTAAAAATGTAAAAAAAACCTATTAAATATAAAGAGCAATGAAAGGCGTTACTTCCTGTACATTGTACACCTCCAAAAATTGTTCAAGGCATTCCAAAGCCTTCACACCTTTTAGCTGTGATCAGAACTTCTAAAATATAATAACAATAAGAGTACTTGCCAAATATAATGTGCGATAATACAATTTTTCTTAGTTTCAAAATTTTTAATGCTGAAATTGCTACCCTAACATGATTTTGCATGTTGGGTTAAACAAAGTAAAGTGCATTGCAAAATATCCTAGTTTGTCATTGATGTATTAGGTGTCCTTTTGAAGGAAAGAGGTGGACTTGTCTTTGGATTATGAAACCTGAGCTTAAAGTGAGAAATCAGCCTTTAAACTTCAGCAATACTAAGACAGTGACTGTAAGGTCTGATGTGCAATTGAATAATCACAGGGGAAGTTTTCAAACTATTTTGGAATGTTTCTGTGCTTCAGCTTGTTTAATTAAATTCAGGCGATGGCATGCGTACTCTGTGGCATTGCACATTCTCATTGGAGACCTTCCTTTGACCGCCACACCACAGAAGACTCAGATATCAGACAAGTTCTTGGAAAGTGTGTGAAATTGTTCAATTGCGTCACTAGACCAATACCTGTAAGTTTCATTTTGCATTCTGAGTTTTTATTTGTACTTATTATAGGAATTTAGGTCTAGATTTTTTTCATTTACTATAAGAGCCTTATGCATTCACTTGTTGCAAAATCGCATGTTGGTAAATCAATAAAATTGGTACATTTGTGACCAAACTATAAATTTAAAATAATGGATTATTACAGTTGCTACTTAATGCCCCTACCCTTGTCAGTAACATACATCAAAATTTTTAAGAAAACATCAACAAAAATATGATGTATATGCTTTGGTATCTTTCACTTTCGCTTCCAGACTGTAGCATTTATTTTTATCCAACTCCTGTAATCCATGCAATCAAATTTGTCCTTTTAAAAACTGCATTATGGAAACCTTCCTTTGTTAAATAAAATGTTAGATAAAATCCTGTATTTATTCTGCACATGACTACAACCAAAACGACAGAGCGTCACGTCATGCGATTCCAGTAAGATATGATCTTTGATGAAGAGGATACAGTAGAAAGATAATACAGAATGAGTAACAGAGACTGAAGAAAGATAGAGTAGACCGGAGTAGGCACAGTAACCAGGGCGCGCTTCCAAATCAAATAAAAATGTCGTTCCCAAGCGGTCGAAAGAAACCAAAACTTAACATTTGCTGTAGACGACCTCAGCGGGGAAGAGGCGGAACGGACCAAAACCTCATAGGGTAGCTCTCGACCAATCACAGCGCAGCCGAACCAAAATGAATTTCCAGCTCCTCTTTCTTTTACACCGAACTTTTCCATTACGTCGCCAGCTCGTTTCCGGCACGTGAACCCCACTTGCGCGATTTAATCCGCCACCTGTGTCCATTCATTTCGGCTCGGGCTCGGGCGGGCGCAGTGATTTGGTTTTGGCCCGCCC